CCCCAAAACCCCAAAACCCCAAAACCCCTTAGCTCTAGAATAAGCAAAGTAAATAGAGTTATTTTTAATCAATTTGTAATCACAAGAGCTTACTCAATAGATTGAATGATGAACTAATTTAGTTTCTATTTAATAATTTAGCTACTTAGCAACTATAATTAATATCTTAATGAAAATGACCTCAGGAAAGGTACTTTGTCTCCTGCTAGCCTCCTTAGCAGCAGTCTCATCTTTTGAGTCCTACTACAAATTCAGAATCAACAAGGACTTCATCCATAATACTTTCTAGAAGAACATGAAACTGATCTTTGAGCAAGCAGAGACATTCCAAATTAAAGATGTCTACCTAGATGATATTCAAGCTAGAATGACAAACATTAATCTTAAGATCCAGCCATAGAACAAGAATTGGGAAAACCTTAAGCTAGAAATGATGATTGATGAAGGTTAAATCCTATTTGAGATGCATGAACTAGAGTTCTCAGGAAATGGAATAATTACAGACCCAAAGACCAACAAACAGGAAAGAATCGAATATACTGCTCCAATCAGCACGTGTCAACTTCTTTTATCATTAGGTGAAGAGTATGCCACTTGGGGAAGTCTATATCCAAGAATTAATGTAGATCAAGTCATCTTCTAAGTGCAGGAAAATCTTATTGTAGTTAGTGCATTTGGAGACTTACCTTTATATTAATCACATCAGTTTGAATTAGCAGTCAAAAAGTGGTTTGTCAATTAACTTAACAAGAGATAAGGTGATTTTAAGACTCAATTGTAAGCAGTAGAGAAGAGCATTTGGTCTTAGGTTGACTTCACTGTCAATTTCTTCCCAGGTGTATCTCTTAACACAAGTTTGTCCGAGTCACTTAAATTCTAAGGAGATTCAATTCAAGCATCTTTCATTAATGAGTTTGAAACTGGAGTTGACTACTCTGAATTTGAGAAGCAATTAGTCTCAGTCAAGCCAACATTTAGCAACGAAAATGCTTTCAAGAAAGATATTTAAGTTACTGTTGATGAAAATTTAGTAAACCACTTACTTATGGGACTCTTCTACAGCAAAAAGACCTTCTCTTTAGTTGAGTTATTCCTTAAATATACCCCAGGTAACTTGAATCATATCGCAAAGATGGCTACAAACTTCTTCACAACCACTGTACTCTCCGTTGCTCTTCCAGAGTTAGCTAAGGAAGTTGGTCAAAATAAGAAGGTGGACTTTAGATGTGGCTTCAGCAAGCAGTTCCTTAATGACAAAGTGGACGACACTCACATTTCCTAGGTTTGGTTCAAAAAGGGAAACACTATTGAAGGTGCTTTTCACTTTGGCTGCGGTATTTTTTACAACCCTAAAAGCAGTACAAATCCCCTTTAATTCATCTCTTCCCTCAGAAACGGAGACTTATCAGGGTTATCAGGCGACTCATCTGATGGTGATGAATGGCTCTCATGGAGATCATTCTTCTTAAATCTCAGAGGGGATGTTACTTTCGACTTCTAATAAAATGCCAGATATAAGGGACTTTTAACCGGCAAAATAAAGAATTTTAACTTAAAGACTAACGAAATCAAGGTATTCAAGGGAGATCAAGAAATCAGAGCCGAGGAAAATATTTACTAACAAAGACTATAAGAATTCGCCTCAACACTCAACGGAATCGATGTTGATAAACTCTTTGATAGAATTCCAGCTTTAAAAGGCATTCCAATAATTGCTCAAAGTGACTCCTTGAAATGTATGGGTCTCTAACCATCAAACGCTATGGTTGAAATCGAAGATAGATTTATGAGGATCGCCTATGACTTCAAAGTCTCACCAGCAGATAAGAAATGTCTCTTTAACATTTTCGAAGAGGAGGAATCCAAATTTAGCAGATGGGAAAAAGAGACTAATCTTAAAATTAACAGAGGAATGGATTATATCAATTCTCAAAGGGAGAGATTAGGAAATAAAGCAAATAAAGTTCTTTACGCTAAGAGTATTTTACTTTGAGCAGCTAGTTATAAATTTATTTGCATTAGAAACTTAATTCTACACAGATTACTTCAAGGGGTTTTGGGGTTTTGGGGTTTTGGGGTTTTGGGG